ATAAAACTTGCTATTATTTTTAACTCAATGTAAGTCTATTTAATATCGCCGGGGTGGCCTAATGGGTAAGATGTAGGCTTGGAAACACGAGTATGAACAAGGACGCGGGTTCAATCCTGGTAAGAACCATAAAAACTTTCAAGTTTTTCTTCGATGACTGAAAAAGAACTCTAGGGATATAAAAGGAGCTCCGAAAGTAATCAAAAATAAAGATGGGAAATTGATAATAAAGGAAAAAGAAATAATGAATAGATGGAAAGAATATTTTCAGGAGCTTCTCAACTATTGCATCTCGATGAACACTCCCCTTGTCAAAACCTTGTACACAACCTATAACGGAACAAGAAATAATCACATGCCTCAAGCATATGAAAAACAACAAAGCTAGGGGTCCAGACGATATTCCAATAGAAAGCCTTAAAGCACTAGGAGATGATGGAATACATCTCCTCACAAATCTGTACAATAAAATACTTGGAAATGAAGAGGTTCCCCAAAAATGGAGGAAGAGCTATCTAGTTCCTATCTTCAAAAATAAAGGGGATCCACACAATTGTCAAAATTACAGGGGCATAAAACTAATGTCACACTGTCTAAAACTATACGAAAAAATAATAGAAAAAAGATTAAGAGATATAATAGAAAAGGAGAGACACAGTTTGGCTTTATGCCTGGAAGATCAACAACCGATGCTATCCATGCAATTAGGCAAATGAGTGAAAAATACAGAGAAAAGAACAAAAAGCTACACATGGTCTTTCTCGATCTAGAAAAGGCCTTCGATAGAATCCCAAGAAAACTTATCTGGTGGGCGCTACGCCACAAAAAAGTTCCCGAAAAATATATAAGAATAATACAGGATATGTATATGGGACATACAACAATGGTCCGTAGCACAACAGGTACTTCAGCAGACTTCACAATAGCCGAAGGAGTTCATCAAGGGTCGGCTCTCAGCCCACTTCTCTTTATACCTCAAACAGTCCCGTGGAATATGATATTTGCAGTTGATATTGTGATACTTGCCGAATCCAAGGATGAAATGAAAGAAAGATTAGTAAGTTGGATAAATATCCTAGAAAAGCAGGGGCTAAAAGTATATAGAGAAAAAACGGAGTATATGATGATAGGAGGAGATGAAACAGAGAGTAATGATATAAATGAATGGCAGATATCGACAATTAAAAGCTGCAAATAGAGCTCCACTATACAAACAAACGGCACAATAGAAAAAGAGATAAAGAATAAGATTAATCAAGGGTGGTTAAAGTGGAGATCTTTATCTGGAGTGCTATTTGACAAAAGAATCCCACACAAATTAAAGGGAAAAATCTACAGTACCAACTATTCTATATAGTTCGGAAACATGGCCAACCAAAGAATCAGACGAGAGAAGTCTACAAACTATGGAGATGAGAATGCTGAGGATGATTGCTGGGTTAACAAGAAAGGATAAGGTGCGCAGTACAAGAATACTAAATAGTTTAAAGGTAGTGCCCATTAAGACTAAGTTAATGGTAAACAGACTTAGGTGGTATGGGCACACAATGAGAAGGCCTATGAACTACATAGGAAATAAAGTTGAAAGTTTGGAAGTTATGGGCAAACGTAAAATGGGGCCATAAAGTTAGAGCCAATATAAAGAAGTATAAAATAGATAAAAGAGATTGTATGAATAACATAAAGTGGAGAGAGATGTTGAAGGAGCTTACCACCAGAAAAGGTGAAAGCTAAAGAGAAGAAAAAAAAAAAAAAGTCTATTTAATATAAAACGCATAAATAAAAGTATAAAAATAAATCATTTAATGAAATGTAGTTAATTTATTTAAGCTGAAAATTTATAGTAAGATTTATTATCATTTAAAAAAACAGATTTAGAAGAATATTCATTACAAATGCCATTCTTTAATCATATTTTCTATTTTGCATTATGAATAATAATATTGTTAACTAACATTATTTTAATAATAAATAATTTATAATGACTTAAATGAATATTAGAATTTTGAATTTAAAAAAACTATATGATTATAAATAAAAAATTATACTGATCATTAAAATATTGTTGACATTTTATTTATTATCATTTAAATTCTATGATTCAAGATTTTTTTAAAAGATAAAAAAATAACCATATTATAATATAAATGAATGTAAAATTGGTTCAATTAAGCTTTTTTTCTGATATATTCATCATCATATAGTATATTAGTATCTATTAAATGGTTCGGGAAAAGTCAAAAATTAGATATTCATATTATAAAAAAATCAATCAATTTGTAAACTTGAAGATTGTGGTATAGTTTTAACTGCTGACCATGCTGCAAATCTCGAGCGACATATAGAAAGGTTCCACGATAGGGAATTCAAATTATTTTAAAAAGAAAGAAAATTTGACTATTAAAGAAACTTAAATAACGAAAAATGCAAATCAGTATAATACAATCCAAAATGCTTTTAAGGCCAAAACTACTACAATATAAATTAATATCAATAAAGAAACTTTAATCCGCTCCTGCATCGAGTAAATAACAGTTCACGAAAGACCAATGAAATCAATTGACGAACGATAAAATATTTCGAAATATTATAAACCCAATAATTATAGTTTGGGTGGAAATTTAACTATCAATTCGGAAAATATATACAAACAATATTTTAAAAAATGGCGTTTGATTTTTCGCAAAATAAAAGGAAATATACCAAACCTTATTTCGTTAACAACTAGATAGGATAGGTCCATATTGGGGATCAACATTCAATTAATAAATAGCGGAAAAATAAAATTAAGAACTCTATGCATGAGAGAGATAAAAGAACGACACACATTAGAATCTTAAAAAAATTTATTAAGATATTCTAAAAGAATGAATAAGAATTGAGCAAATTTACACGATAACCACAGATAATGCAGCAAATATGATTAAATTAATTAAGCTATTAATACAAGATGAAGAAGATGCTAGGCTTAACGTTTATTTAAATACTGATGATATAGATAATGATAATTTAAATATAACAATGATATAATTGATGATGAAAATAAAGAGCCTTTTAATATTGAAAATATTAATCTACCTAATGCCAGATCCATATTAATGGGTTAGATGTGCCTCACATACATTTCAATTAACAATTAGTGATTGCATTAAAAATTCAAATGAAATTGTGATTATCAAGAAACATATGCGAAAAAATAAGAAATCAGACAACAATGGATTCTGTCCAAATAAAATTTGAAAAAAACAGATTGTTGCACAAGATGGAACTCAATCTATTTAATGTTGGAGAGATTACTAGAGTTAAAAAACTTTTGCTAAGAAATATCGCTCCAAAGCAATGATCGCGAAAAATGTTTATCAGAGAATGAATTGAAAATAATTAGCGTTATATTAAAAGCTTTATATCCAGTTTATATTTTGACAAAATATATACAAAGTGAACAATTGACAAATGGGCGATTTTTATGCCGCGTGGATCAAATGTATCATGCAAACGAGCAAAGTAGAAACTCCGCCAGACTTTTCGTTTCTATGAGAAATAAATTTGAAAAATGACTTTTTTATTGCTCAGCTATATATCTCGACCCAAGATATAATATATTTTTAAAATTGAAGAAAAGAAATCGCCAAAAGACATCTTTCTAAAACTTGGAACTTATACAAAATTTTAGTAATCAGAATATTGAAATTATAGATACTATGTCTACTTGTTCACATTCGAAAGATAATTTAGATGATGATTTTGAATATTTATTAAAGTCGCGTGAAAGCCTTAATAAGAATAATACAGGGCATAGAAAATTATAATAAATGTATAGAAATAGAATATATAATTCGGTCATTTGATAATATAGAGAGATTAAAAAAAGATACTAATCTTTTGAATTATTGGGAAAATGTTAGTATACCAAATCTTTATAAGTTAGCTATAACTGTGCTGGCAATTTCAGCTATGCAGGTATCAGTAAAAAAAGTATTTTCTAGCCCAAAGTTTATACTCTCGCAGAACTAAATTAAATTCCAAAATATTAGTAAATATTTTAGTTATCCGTTCTAATTCTCTTTTTAAACATAAATAGTATAAATTTCATTATATTTATGAGGTATTTTATTCCTCATTGTATTTGCGCATGTTAGTCTTTATATTATTTATTTATGAAATAAAAATAATTAATTTGTCTGATTTATATTTACTAAGTTTAATAAAAATATTTATTAGATAATCATGGTTAAATTAAATTAGAATTTATAAAAATATAAACTAAAAAGATTTTTTTAAAAAAACAAATCTATAAAAACCGGAACAAACCGAAAAGAACCTTTATAAATTATAAACCGAAATGATATGAATTTTTTTTAAAAAAACAGAAATGGAACGAAACCTTTATACAATTTTAAACTAAAAACCGAAACGAACCGACTATACTTAACGGTGCGAAACCCTGTTACAAAGAGGACATGTGAAAGGAAAAACGATATTGCAGATAATATGAGGACAATTTTTTTTATAAACAATAACATTTCTCCTTTAATATATTTTTTTTAATTTATAAATTTTTGATAAGTGATTTAGAATATAATTTTTAAATTTCAATAATTTCTTCACAAGTAAAATTTTCACCATCTTTTTAATTCAAAAATAAATTGATCATTCTCTATTTTACTTATAAAAAATATCTAAGATAATGATTATTTTTTAATGTACAATTATTATTTTATTTTAAGAAATGTATCTAATATATTAGAGGATGAATAACACATGCTCTGATCATTTAGACTGTTTAAGAGCTACCTTTTTTTAAATTTAGGCTAAAAAATATTTTTAATAAATTGAGGTGTTCAATTAAAACCATATAAATTTTTATAAATTAAGGATTGCTCAAATTGTGAAAAAATTTAGGTTGCCCCGACGTCAATTATTATAAATCAATTTAAATTTGTGAATATCGGAAATCAGGGAAAAAATATATAAGATATCAATCATATTAAAAATAAAACCTCAATTGTATTTCCGTCTGGAAGCAAATATTGAGCTTTAATAGTATTAATTTTTTCTTCTTGTTGGGGACTTAATGCAAGGTAACAGATTTTCTAAAAAAAGTGTAAAATCTTTAATAAATAATTAAAATATAGTTATTATGGTTATGTATAACCCGCTTATAGGCTTCTCAGTCAGGGGATAACTAGACCCAAATCTGGGGCAGCAGATATTTCAAAAATTATAACCACTGTAAGAAACTATTTGTTAATGTTACAATATCTTACTTAGCTAATTTTATTAAAATTCCACATTTTTATTTTTTAAATTATATATAATTAAAAGAATACTTCTTTTATATTTTTGACAACTTCCATTTCAGATGAGGTGTGAAAATTTAATCCTTCTTTTCTAAGTAACTGACGTAGATAGCGCGTGATATCACGACCTTGATCAAATAAAACAATTGATATCTTTAAAATATATGTGAATCTGCTTATTTATTAGAGCTGAAGATATTACTCTGAAAAAATAACATCGGTATATCTACGTTACTATAAAAATCTTTAAATTGATGTTACTTTTAAAAAGCGTACATCTTGTGTTACTTTTAAAAAAAATAACGCCGTTACTTTACTTTTTTAAAAAATATTGAAACTGTTAATATGAAAAGATTTCGCATAAATTGTTTTTCTTTTATTTCAACAGTCGATATTATATATTTATTATATAAATCCCAAAATTTAAATAAATAAATATGACACATAATTTTTATCATTATTATAATATTATGATTCCTATAAATATATTGATAATTTTTAATAACAATTATTTCCAATTTTCCTTAGATAAACAAGATCATCTCTCAGCACTTTTTTTCAGTACTCACTCGCAATCAATAGAATGGCAGGGGAATATGTTTATAAAAAAGGTATATCATTGGAAAATGTTTAAGGTTTTCCAAAAATGTATATTTATTCTTAAAAAATTTTGATAGTTCATCTCATTAGACATATCTTTATAAATAAAAATTATTTTTATCAACATTATCTTTCTTCAAAAAAGATATTAAATATCGTTTCTTTTCTTCGTTTGTTCTTTAGAGCAATGAAGATAATTCACAATTAATATTATCTTCACTAGAACTATTCTCTAATTTAATTTAAGAAATCCAATAGATCAATAAAAATAACAGCTGAAAGAAGAATGATATGAGATACACATATAATTTGTTTTAACAATGTTTTAAACATTAAACAATAATAAAATAAAAATGATGGTAAAGGTAATTACTTTTTCTAAACAACAACGCCATTACCTGATTTTTTGTAGTGCATCACTGTAAATTACTAATAAAATAATTAATATCTTCTGAATAAATAAAGGTATAAATATAAACAATAATATTAATTATATTTTTTTAAAAAAAGGTCTAGCTTTTATAAAACTTGGGAGCGTTAGTTAGCACCTTTCTATAATAAGGTCGAGAGACAAATATTAGTAAATAAATTGTTTAAAAATAAAATAAATAAAATTGTAATTTGATATATAATAGAGCATTTGATTTGGCAAATGAGTTTATACTATTCCTTCTCAAATTAAAAATCATTCATTGGCATATGGCTTGAGGGGTTACCGTTGGCAGAGTTGGGTAGGTCCTACAGAAAAAGAATCTAGATACAGATACAGATTCTTTATAAAAAAATGAATCTTAGATACAGATACTAGTATCTTTTTCAAAATATCAAAAAAATACAAGATAAAAGATACTTGTATTTTTTACTAAATTAGAGTATCTCAAATACAAGATACTTTTAAATTATCATTAACAATTAAATGAATAGTTTATAAAATACAGTTTTTATTATTTATTTATGAAGAACATAGCATACACAAACACATATAAGAATGAATATTTGCAATAATTAATAAAATATTTATTAATGAATTAAATTGATTTAATAAAATATATAATAAAATTTGCATTTTTTAAATTTTTTATGGTGATAAAACTATAATTTTTTGGAAAACTTGCATAACTTTTTTAGAAGTAACTATTAATCTAAGATGTTGTATTTATTATTTCCAAAAATATTTTAATATATATTCAAAATTTTAGATCTCAAATTTTAATATGTTCTGAAATATAGCTAATCAAAATTTGGGGTAAAATAGATTCCACCTTTGTAGTTAAGGGATTTTTTTCCACCTTTGTAGTGAAGGGTTAAAAAAATTCTTTTATTTAATAATAAAATTGGCCTTATTATTAAAAAAGATTTAAAATAAATAGGGTGTTCCTTTCTATTTTTATAAAAAAACTTTTAAAATACTAAGGGGTGTTATGCATTTGCATTGTTTAGAAAAAATTATTTAGAAAAATAACAAAAAGAAAAAGAAAAATATCAGATCGGTTTTTTACAGGTATCGACCCGATCTGATATATGCTAGATATTGGTGCTGATCCGATATTTCAGCCCTATATCCAACCCACTTCACAGGAACTAATTAACTGCTTTTATTTAGCAATAAAACATAAATCAAAACTTGGGCACACAGATTCCTATAAAAGATTCAGATAGCTGTAATATAATCCTCCAACACATCTGCAATCTATGCAGCTTCCATGCAGCAGTAAATACTTGCACTCCACTACTAGTATTCAAAGATAAATGTAGACATTCATGCCATTGGGTCCTTAACTCTAATTCATAAAGACCTTTCGTCAGTTTATATTCCCATTACTTTCAGCAGGACTTAACATATCAGATATAAAAGGCCCAACGGTCAGAGTTGGGCAGTACCGCGAATACTTGTATCTAAGATACAAGATCCTTTTGTATCTTGTACTCAGTATCTTATTGACATTTTTAATAAGATACTAGTATCTGTATCTAAGATCCTTTATGATTCTTTTTAATATTCATGTTTAAAACATTTACATATCACACAATGTAACTTTATTTTCTTTGTGAAATCTTGTATTATTTTCTTTATTTTTTCCCTCTATATTTTAAATATATTGATAACCAAAATTAGTTGGAAATTTTACATGTCACAAAGATAGATAAATTAAAAATAACAACACCAAAACTAAATAAGAGAAGGATATATTTTACATGTAATATTTTTTAATTAGTAGAATGTTTAACAATCATAGTAGTGAAGATGAAATTATGGAGATAGGTTCTCCTGAATCAAATCCGAATCTTAAAATTCTAGATGGAAAATTTTATAAAGTAATTCATGTGAAAAAGAATAAGGTATAAGCTGAATGTCAAAATTCCACAAGTAAAAAAGTTATTAAAAGTTCAACAAACTCCTCTATAAACTTTGTTAAACATATTAAAGTATATTATACATTTTTATTTTATAATTATTAACATAATAATACCTATACTTAAGTCCCTCTTAGATAATTGTTATTAAATTTTTTTATAAAAGATGGTTGATTATCAAATTAAAATAATTTTGGATATATATTTTTTATCGATGCCACTTTTTGGAGGCCGATCCGATATTCCTGATATTAAGTTAATATCAGCCGATTACCGATCCGATATCATATCTAATTTTGTATTCTGTAAAGATACCAATGGTTTTAATTTTTAATATACTTTTTATTAGTATAACATCTATAATTTAACTATACATAACTTATGTCATTTAAATATATTATAATGATCAGTTATAGTTTATATTCAATTCAATTGCAATTCTAAAAGTATATAAAATATTTTTATTGTTAAATCACTTTTATATAATAAGTAATAACATTAATCTATATACATAATAAATTATATTATGAAATTTGAAATAAATATTTAAAATAATATTTAACATTAATATATCGAAGATTTATTTTTAGAAATACCAATATTTCCAATTTATCAGAGGTCAGCTTGCGGTGATAGTAACTGTCAATATCACCAGCTTAACTAAGAACAGATTCTGAAGAGAATATTGCACACTTTTATTAACAGAATTCCCCCCAAAAATAACAATATGGCAGAATGTTTATTAATTAATTATTATTATTAAAAAAATATACATAAAAATGATTTTCGATTTTATTTATAAAAATAAATGATTTTAGATATAAATTTTTTTAAAAATTTTTATAACATTTTATTTTTGTTAAAGAAGCCCATTTATATCGGATCAAATTTTATAATATTGGCTGATAACCGATATTTTAAAATGAATGAAATCGGCCTGATCTGATAAAAAATATTGGCACATCCCTAATATATTTTATATATAATTATTTTAGCAAGTTCTTATTAGAGGAAATATTTAAGCTACAATTGATATATAACATTAGATAATTTTAAAAGGCTCTTAATAAAATAATTATAATAAGGTAGAATTTAACTTTATTAGATACTTTATTTATGATATAAGTAAAATTATATTACAGTATTTATTTACAAAATTTAATCAATTTAAAATGCATTAAAGAAAATTGTTATGTATTTAATAATTATAATATAATTTTGTACATTATTTTCATATTTTTTATATATAATTAATGATTTTGCAAGAATTATATAAAAAAATTTGAAAAGAGATTTTAATGATATTTATATATATGATATTACAAACACAATAATTAATAAGTCATATTAGACAATAAACTAATTTAAAAAATACATAAATATCACAAACAAGTAATGATAAATACTTATTTAAGATAATGAATAAAACTAGTATATTTTTTTTAGAGATGCCATTTAGCCATATACTCCGAATATAAGCTATATTTAAAACAACACAAAAAATAACCTGCAAATTTTAATAAATCATTTGATTTAATTTTTTTTCTTTTTTGCGAATTTTTAACTCCCATTAAATATACTACTCTCCCTTCCCTGTTTAAGCTATTAATGGGCAAAATTAATATTAAAATCCCTGAATAAACTAATTATATAAATTTTATAAAAAAAATATCAAATATTAAAAAAAATATTAATCATCAAATATGTAAATTTTTGTAATAACATTCACGACAAAATGTACGCATTTGATCTTTACAAATGAATTTTGAACAATTTAAACAAATAAATGTTGTTTTTATGTCCTTCATTCTTGGACAATCATAACATCTTCCCTTTTTATTTGATGGAATATGTTTTTCATCAGTTATATTGAGAACATCCTACATGCTAGGGTTCTCAGATCTGCTGATCATATATAGAATTATCAGTTCCATTGCCAATAATTTTATAAATTTTTAGATTCGATAAATTATTAGCTTTCTAAACTATCAGTTCATTTATTATTGATATATTTATTATAGTATAAAAAATGGTGAATAGCCATCTGGATTTCCTGAATATATAATATATGGAGGATAGTTGATCAACTGTATCAACTCCAGTTTTTGTTAAATTATAAAAAGTTATAATTTCTGGTTTTTTAAACTCAACAGTTTACATCAATTTTGTTATCATAATGTAGTGTGTAGAAAGCAACACTATATTCTTATACTTTGGTATGTATGAAACTACAATTGTATTTTCTCGAAATGCAAATTAACTAAATTTATATCTCTAATCATCACCTGACTCACAATATACATAAAATGTTATAAATATCAAATATTAAATAGACAATACTTCAACTTGATGATATTAAATTTTCCATATGCATCTTTTATAGTATTTATCTCCACAAGAAAAAAAAATAGTATAAAATTTTGGGTCACAATTTAACAATGAAAAATTTAAAAATAAAAATTTATTTTCAATTGTAATATATTAGTTTGTAATATACAATAATATTAATTAATAAAAAAATTTGGGAAAAAAAAATACCGTAATTACAAAGGTGGGACCTATACTACCCCAAGCTCAACAAATTGCAAATATTTTAAAAAATATCAAATCAATTATCTTGAAATTTGATAGACTTGTTTTTATAACAAAATAATTAACTACTATAAAAACCAGGTCAAATTATCTTCAGGATTTTTAATTACCAAGATTATAAAAGCCATGGGGTATTATTTACCCCACCTTTGTAGTGAAGGGTTAAATATGGTATCTGAATTATAGAAATATTTTACAAAAGACAAAGATAATTTTGCAAAATGCATTATCTGCAGAATTCTAATTTCATGGGGAGGAATAATGAAAAATTTATTTAATACTGCCAATATCCGTAAACTTTCTTTAATTATTGTAGAAATATAAAAATTAAATGTACAATTCAATTTTTTTCATAAAAAATATTGATTTCTTAATTATATTTCAAAGGGGGTATATAAAAAATATATATAAATATTGGATTGGTTTTGAAAAAATATTGAGATCGGTGAAAAATATGTGGATCGGCACAGCCCTAGTTAGATATAATATAATATATATAATGTACTTATATTCAATTATAATCTGGAGTCAATTTGTAATTTTGCTTTTAATAACATTTTTTAGTTCTAAATATAATTTATAAAAATTAGGTTAGCTCTATATAAATAAAAAAATTAAAAACTTGGACACTGACCCATATATACCCTATGCTACTGATGCACAAAATACTATTCATAAGGGTTACCTATCTACGAGACTTTAATCAAAAGATGATTTCATTTCTTCAAAATTGAGGCTTGAATGTTTTTGGCAAAAACGTTTTAGCCATTTATTAGCTCTAATATTTTGAGCTTAACTATGTTTAATCATTAAAAAGTTTTTTCTAAAATATATACCTGTACTAACCTAGACAAAATTAAATATCTCTATACCACTAAATACACCCAATGAGTGTGGTTGCTTATCTAGGTCAAATGATAAAAATCAATGATAACATTTTATTTTATAGTAATAATTAAAATATGATTTTGTTGAGTACTGCTTTTGCATAGAGAATGTAAGGTTAATTTAACAAAAAAACAAGGAGTTGATCTTTAAAAAAAATTACAGCAAGAAAATGAAGCTAGCCCTTTTTGAAAAGTTAAGAGACATAGCTAATTCCTTTTAAAAAGAAGCATTGTCACTGAGATAAATATATTTCAAAGTATATCATTAAAAATCACCTGCAATTTCTGACCTAAATATACTATGCGGCATGGCAAAACCCTCATATATTGGGACCACGTGTGTTACTCCATCTCCTGAATCAATAACAACACCAGTTGTTCTTCCAGAAGAATATCTATAAGAAATTTAAAACTATTAAATAGAATATAATTACAAGCTAAGTACAGCTTGTATAGATATAAATAATGCTGGAACGTTAAAAGTTTCAAAAAATATTTCTGCTGCCTTTTCTCTATTTTTTTGAGGATTAAGAGGAGCTTCTGTTAATAAAATAGGATGCTAAAATATATCTAGACTTTATTTTAAATGGTTAATTACTTCTTCAGATGTAATTTGCAATTGTTCCTTAGAAAATATGTATTGCCAAATTCTCTCCATATCATTCCAATCATTAACAATGCCATGCTCCATTGGATATTTTATATTCATTAGACCTCTATGTTCCTATGATAGGTTATATTAATTTTTAACGAATAATAACTTCTGCTTTTGGCCCGATAAATACATCTCCCTCCAAAGCTCCTGCCATAACCCTTACATGTTTAGGACGTCCAACACTAAATTATTGATTAAATGATGATAAATATACATTTTTACTAATTAGGAAAATAGCATTTTGGGATTTGATCTCCTGCAAAACCAGCTTTAATTATTCCTGACCCCTATAATAAATAAATATATGCATATTTACTAAAATAAGGAACATTATCAATAACTATTGGTTGATTAACTATTATAGAATCCATGCGGCTGTGAAACGAATAAACATATTGATATGTTGCTCAAAGAAATGATAAAATTATATTATGATTGACATTGTTTTTTTTTAAACTTTAATATGTCAAATTTTTACTAAATAACTATCAGTGGCATTGCTGAAGGGGCGCCCAGGGGCTCGAGCCCCCTGAAAAATTTAATAGCCCCCTGAAGCAAAAAAAAAATATTTTTAATTAAAAATTTTTTTATAATTGCTCCGCTGCATTCAAAGTGAAGATGGATCCGTTTTTTACATCCGTTCCGTAAAAAGTCAATCTCATTAAAAATGATATATATGTTCATAGTGCGTCCGTTCCGATACCTTCCGTCTTAAAAAAGGATCCAGCAAATTTTATAGAGCTTTATAACGTTACTTATAATTTTTTAAAAATGAAAATCAATATATATCATTTTTAATGAGATTGACTTTTGACGGAACGGATGTAAAAAACGGATCCATCTCCACTTTGAATGCAGCCTTAATATCCGCTTGAACTAAAAATAATTTTTTTTAATTGTCCCTTGAACGATTTCTTTTATAATTCTAGTGAGTAATATATAGATTTAATTTTATTATTAAAAATTAATAAAACCATCTAAATTTTTTTAAATGAATACTATTTTAATATATAAATTATATGTCCACTCTCTCAGCTTGCAATCAAATTCTGTGTTAAAAATATATCAATATCACTCACTAAATATTAATTTAGCATTAACAGTCGAAGCTTAATTGACTTTTATTATTTAAATTATTATATAACCTTAATTAAATAAATATAATCATTTTTTAATTGATAATTACAAATTTAATATTGTAATTAGCCGAGTTCAAAATCACTAATCAACTACATTTTCATTTATTTTTAAATTTAATTATCATGTCTCTTCCTACTATTATTTTCAAAGTCCAAATCCAAATGAGTATAAGATATTTATTTATAAAAAGTAAGTAGATAAATAGTTTATAATCCTTTATAATATATAATTATTTATAAAATATTAGGTAAAATGCCACTTTTACAGACATATTTGACAGTTATATAATATATTACAGTTAATAATTTTAAAATTTTAATAATAATGCTTTTGATAATAAATATAAGTAACAATTTGCATTCAATTATTTAATGCCATCTATTTAATAAATATATTATTAAAATTAAACTTCTTATTATTCATCCCACAATGGATGTAATAAATTAGATATCTTTTCTTCTCTTTTTTACGTGTTTTTATGCAAGCTATTTTTTTTCTTCTTTGAAAAACAGTTTTGAGTTAAATTTTTAATACGAATATATTTTTGATATATATACAATCAATTATTATTTTAAGATATAATAAACCAACTATAGGTGGTGCGACAATAATATATAAAATCTTAATTACTTTCATCATATCACTCTGGTTCTTATTTTATAGTTAAAAAATGTTTCATTTCTATTATGGCATCCTTGCCGTGTAAATAACTAAAAGCTTCAATATATTTGTATAATTTCTTCTAAAGATTTTTGCTCTTTTTGCTTTATCAGTTTATCTAACATAATTAATTCTATGGTTTACCATCGTGAGTGTCATGACCTTTTGTCAATGTAACTTGCTAAAATTATATAGCCTTATGTGGTTTTTATTATCAATTGAGGGGCATATGCATGAATTAATTAACCTTTTTATCACTTGTACTTATTTACGCAAAATTTTTTAATGTCAGCAATCGAAAATATTTTATAATGTAATAAATAGATTTTGTATTAAAAAAATATTATTTTTAGAAATTTATTGTATTGTTTTAATTATTTATATGCTAGTTTATTTTGTATGCAAAATATTATAAATGACAAAATAATTCAGAATAATTGTATAGAGTTAGCAAATTTTAAAAATGTATAATATATTAATATAAAAGCCGGCCGAATGCCGGGCAAAAGGGGGCCAATACCCGCAAATTTGGGTTTTTTTTAAGCTGAGCTCCCTGAGATTGTAAAGGCTAGCGACGCCCTTGATTACTATCATTCAGTATCAATATTTTAAGAAAATAGATTATTATAGAAGTTGTTTTGCAAAAAAAAAATTTTCAAAAGTACAAAATAATATAGTTGTAAAATATATTTATTAATTTCTTTCTAAATGCTTTATTACTTTTTGTAAAACACACACATATTTGCCATGGTTTATTTAATATTATAACATGGCTTAGTTTTATTTTCTTTATATTTTATTTAGTAAAATTAGAATGTATAATCACGTTAGAACAAGAAATGTAATGCATTATAAATTTATAATAATATATTTTCTAAATATTTTTTTTATATAAAATAAAATTTAAATATCAGAAAAAAGAAACTTTATAACAAAAATAAAACGTTAAACATAAAAAAATATAAAATGTAAGGTAGAATCAATGACATACATTGGGTAGAATCTACTTTTGAATAATGAAGTCTCCCAACACTTTTCATTTAAAACTTATGGTTCAAATAACATATTTAATACCACTTCATAGGCATAGCCAGGATTTTCTTAAGAGGGGGGGGGGAATTAAAAATTTTTGGTTTATTTATTAAAAGTAAGTAGACATATAGTTGATATTCTTAAATTATACAGAATTAGTTAAATACGGTAAAATATCACTTTTACAGACATATTTGACAGTTAGAGATATATTACAGTTAATATTATAACAAATTTAACTAATCAATGCTCTTGATAATAAATATAGCAACAATTTGCATTTAATTATTTAACGCCATCTATTTCAAATAATATTAAAAATTAATCTTCATATTATTCATCCCACAATGTTTTTAAATGATATTTTCTGATAACCTTATCAATATTTTATAGTTTTCTGTAAAATATATAATTCGCTATATTAGTATAATTATTTGATTGTCATATGGTAATTGATAAATAAAGATATACTGTAAATCTACGACATATAATAATCCACTGTTATTGTGCTTTAATTTTTTTATTTAATTTATGATTTAATTTTATCAATAGTTTTATAATTATATTTTACTTTAATTAATTACTCACTTTATAAAAAACTATATTTTATATATTATATTGTTTAGTAATTTTATGTATCTTTTATTAATCTTTATAATACATTTCCCTTTTGTCTTAAGATTTATCAATGGCTTATATTATATTTCTTAAAAAACATTTTTGGTTCATTTTTTTTATATATAAATGCTTTTTTCCAAAAATATATAAATTATGATAAATAGTTTTATATAAAAAATATCAACTTTTACATTCTTTCTTTTAAATTATTGTTTAAGATGTGTGCATACATTTTTGCGGGTCATGAAGTGGGGGAAAAACTAAGGGGTATATTTTTTATTAGCTTTAAATGATATTCACAAAAAGTGATAAATTTCTGAAGAGGGGGGAAATTTCCCCTTGCCCCCCCCCCTGTTTACGCCTATGATTCACCCCACGATATGTTAGAAAGGCTGATTTTATTCAAACCCAATATCGAAGATTTCTTTTCAGAGCAATCTGATTATTTATTGACTGAAGATTGGAAAGAGATAATAAGATTATTGAAATTTTAAAACCAGTTAAAATCGCGACCAAACGATTCCAATCTGAATAGTTATTAAGAGTCGTGAGTGTTAGAGAAGGAATACAAGGATTAGAATAATTGATTTATTTCAAGATAATATATAATGAATTTAATTAATATTAAAAAACAATAAATTTAATTTATAATAACAATTTCGTATTTCATAACATTATAATTATAATTTCTGATTTTTTTTTCAAGCATTATATACTCTTTATAATTTGAATAATGTTACAAACTATATTTTCTATAGTTGTTCATCTAATTATAATACAATTCATAACTTTGAATAATCATCTATAATTGAACTTATTTCATATCAAATCTATTTTCTTTTTTTTTGCTTAAATATTTATTTGCACTAGTAGATAGCCCGTCAAAAATGACGGAGAATGAGAATTTTATTAGTTTTTTTAAGAAAGATGTTACCTTTTATTTAAAAATCATATCCAATTTATATAATTTTTAAACCCCCCCCCCCCATCCCCATTTAGGTTAAGTCCAAGCAATGTCATTGAGTCCAACCCATTAGGACTAAGATTGGAAACTATTATTTGAGTCAAAATATATTTAAATGAGCTAGTACCCAATACCAAAATTCTTTGTAAATATATTACTGGTTACATAAGACTCACATTTAACATTAAAAAATTTCAAGCCAGGTCCAAGCTCATAATATTTGGAAAAAATCCATGCGTTCAAGACCTTATAATTTATAAAAAAAAATTCTCAAGCCTAGTAGATAAAATAATTAGTATAATTAACTTAATTTAATATTCTTATTTGAGTATATATCTTTTCTTTTTTAAAAAAGAATTTAGCTTAATTTAATAATCTTACTTCTTCAAAAGGAAACTTTGATTAAGTCTGTTTAAGAGTGCCCTTATTTAGAGAATTTTTTTAAATAACTGGCACTCCGATTTCAGGAATTCAAGGAAAATGATAGTCTCTAAAAATAAATATGATCATAAAAAATGAACAAATAAATTACTTTTTCTGATTTCAGGAATTCAAATAAAATGATAATCTCTAAAAATTGGTATCTGGCACTCCGATTTCAGTCAAGGAAAATGATAGTCTCTAAAAATAGATATGATCATAAAAAAGCAACAAATAAATTACTTCTTCTGATTTCAGGAATTCAAATTTGGTATAGCCTAGTAGATAAAATAATTAGTATAATTAACTTAATTTAATATTCTTATTTGAGTATATATCTTTTCTTTTTTTAAAAAAGAATTTAGCTTAATTTAATAATCTTACTTCTTCAAAAGGAAACTTTGATTAAGTCTGTTTAAGAGTACCCTTATTTAGAGAATTTTTTTTAAATAACTGGCACTCCGATTTCAGGAATTAAAGGAAAATGATAGTCTCTAAAAATAGATATGATCATAAAAAATGAACAAATAAATTACTTCTTCTGATTTCAGGAATTCAAATAAAATGATAATCTTTAAAAATTG